TTTAGTAATTTGGAGACTGGAAACAATCTCATTATATTGAATTGTGTATAAAATAATCGTTGTTTGTTAAATACATTTTTTTAGTTTTCAAAATTAGAAATGAAAATGTTTGTATCGCAGTCTTTAGTTACTTTACCATATTTATTCGTTGTTATTTGTTTAATTGCAATCCGAAAAGTTATTTAATTTCATTTAAAGAAAACACATTCATTGCATGCTGTAAAATATGGTTAAATTATCCATTCAACAAAGTTTGTTGTGTATGAATATATATTAAAATATTTATGAAAGACCGACAAAACGATTAAATAACAAATAAGAGAGAAAATAAATCGAAGAAAATAGCAGAAAAACATTATTATGAAATGGTCGCTAAGTTACAGCCTTTTATGAGCACTCTTGTCTACAAACAAACACACTACAACTTTGCTCTTCAACTTTATTTGGCTCATATCAACACTTCCCCAAAAAGTCTGTTATTTTGTTAGTATCTGCGACCTCTTTCGGACAGTTCACCTTAAAATTACGTTTAAAATAACTGTTTAATGTTATAAGTTTTAAGGAATTTTTTCAAGACTGGAATAGAAAACAAATTAGTAAAATAAATAAAATTATCTGAAAACCGCAGCAATGTGTGTGTTTGTACAGATAAGCCTAAAATTATATACGTTACACTGTTCTGAGCATGTCACAGTTTGGCTCGCTGTAAAATTAGTTATTTTAAATTATTACGTTTTCAATGTGTTCTCTCTCTCTACAGGCTTCTTGAAATCATTATAGGTAATCAAAATAAATTGTCAAATAACGATTTATAATAAAATGATTTCGACAAAACATTGGTTTGTCTTCTTCTAAACACGTAGTATGTTCCACCATAAATAAATCACTTTATTATGCTTACTTATTATTATATTAGCAAAATGTGTTTCCTTACTGAAGTATCATTGAGAGTCAGTCATTAAAATATGAGGTTATCGTGGAATGGGCTATCAACTACTGTTAAAACTGTTGTTCTGCTCATTATTTAGCTTTCATTGAAATGAAGGAGAAGAACCAGTTTATCAAAACATTACATAACCTTGATATTCAATGCTAGATTTCTGTCTGTGATAATTAGACTGACTTAATGGGTGAACAGACTGTTTATCTTGTTTCTATGTACGTTACATTATTTCACAATGTATAAAAAGATAGTTAATTTATGGTATTTTACACTGATTAATATTAGTATTTACAGGCTGGTTTAATTAGTTCATTAATTTAATAGATAAGGTGGGAAATGCAATGTTGCCTTTTATAACATTGGGATCACATTCTTACTTCTTCATGGACAAACATGAAGATTTACTTATCGGATTTCATTGTATTCATAATTTAACAGTCATTACCTGGTAAGAGAAGCAAGGTTTCAAATAGATTTCCAATGTATAAAACGTTATTGTATAATCTAGCACTGCGATCCTTCGTGGAACAGCATTATAACAAGCCAAGGTAATACTTCTCAATTTTGGGGTTTGTTTTTCTTCTTTCATTTAGATATTTCTCGATATCTATATTTACACTATTTGTCAATATCTTATCTCATGAAGTTTCTTGAATAGAAGTTATAGTTTTATAAACGCAACAGTCACTAAAACGTAAATGTGGCTTATACACCAATAAAATAGACTGTGCCTTTATACAACAGTATTGTCATTTCTCTGCTGTAGATTTCCAGCATTGTCTCGAAGAGTATGCAATACGTTTCTGTTTTATTTTTTTAACTGGGTATATTTTATGCGAATAATTATTTAAAAAGATATATATTTTCCTTTAATATTTAATTTAGACAAGTTAGTTGGGATTCCTGGCCTGGTACTGAACAAAGCTGCCACACGGGTAAATATCTTGAATAACAGAAGGTTTTGAAAAGTTAGTTGGGTGGAATTGTGATACAAAAACAAGTTTAGTTTTGTATAGTTCTGTCTAGATTAGAAGTTATGGTGCATTTTAAAACCCAGGTTTTGTATAGTTCTGTCTAGATTAGAAGTTATGGCATATTTTAAAACCCAGGTTTTGTATAGTTCTGTCTAGATTAGAAGTTATGGTACATTTTAAAACCCAGGTTTTGTATAGTTCTGTCTAGATTAGAAGTTATGGTACATTTTAAAACCCAGGTTTTGTATAGTTCTGTCTAGATTAGAAGTTATGGCTCATTTTAAAACCCAGGGTTTGTATAGTTCTATCTAGATTAGAAGTTATGGCACATTTTAAAACCCAGGGTTTGTATAGTTCTATCTAGATTAGAAGTTATGGCTCATTTTAAAACCTAAGGTTTGTATAGTTCTCTCTAGATTAGAAGTTATGGCACATTTTAAAACCCAGGGTTTGTATAGTTCTGTCTAGATTAGAAGTTATGGCACATTTTAAAACCCAAGGTTTGTATAGTTCTCTCTAGATTAGAAGTTATGGCACATTTTAAAACCCAGGTTTTGTACAGTTCTGTCTTTATTAGAAGGTATTTATTAAAATTTAGTGAAATAACCATTCATATTTTGGGGTTCCAAATCTAAGACGAATTATTGTAGGTTTGCAACAGAGTTCACATATTGGTATATTCACCAGTGAACCTAACATTTATTTATTTTTTGTTTTGTCATACTTTTACAGCTGCCTCCAGTTTTCTCCTAGCTAATGCCCAGATTATGGACTATCCTATCGTCTATTGCTCCGAGAACTTCTGTAAAATAACGGGCTACAAGCGGGCTGAGGTGATGCAGAAGTCGTGTCGCTGTGGCTTCATGTACGGTGAACTTACAGACAAGGACACCATCACCGACATCGAACATAGTCTCGAGAAACAGGCCATCAACCAGTTCGAAATTCTGCTTTACAAGAAGAATAGTAAGTGGAATAGTTTGAATTAAACTATAGGAGTAACGAATTGTTATTATTGTTATGTTTTTAGTTTGTTTGAAAATTCTTCTCACTGGATGGTTGTTCGTTTGTTGAATTTCTCGCAAAGCTACTTGAGGGCTCTCTGTGTTAGCCGTCCCTAAATTAGAAGAGATAGACTGGAGGAAAGGCATCTAATCAATACCATCCACCGCAGATGGCCCGGCATGGCCAGGTGGTTAAGGCACTCGACTAGCAATCTGAGGGTCGTGGGTTCGAATCCCTGTCACACCAAAAACATGCTCGCCCTTTCAGCCGTGGGGG